CGGCGGGGCAGCGGAGGACGCGCACCTAGACGAGAGCTCGCAGCTCCCTGGGGGCTGCGAGCTGCGAAGCACGGCGGCGTCGCGGAGTTGCACGGACCCATGCGGGACCTCGCAACTCCCTGGGGGGCTGCGATCTGCGCAACTGTCGCCACGTCCGTGGGCTCCTGAGAGGCATGGCTCAGCAGCGGAGTAAAGGGACCAAGGCGGGACCTTGCAGCGCCCTGGGTGGCTTCGAACTGCGCAACTGGCGCCACGTTCGTGGGTTTCTGGGGTGCACGGCGGAGTGGAGTACGCGCAACCAGCCGAGAGCTCGCTTCTCGCTGGGGGGCTGCGAACTGCACAACTGTCGCCGCTTTCGTTGGCTTCTGGGAGGCACGGCGGAATCGCGGAGTACGCGCACTTAAACGAGACCTCGCTGCTCCCTGTTTTTCTTTTGCGAACTGCACAATCGTCGCCACTTTCGTGGGGTTCTGCGAAGCAGGACGGAGCAGCGGTGTACGCAGACCCCGACGGGACCTCGCTGCTCCCTGTGTGGCGACCTGCGCAACTGTCGCCACTGCCGTGGGCCCCTGGAGGCACGGTGAAGTCGGGGAGGACGTGTACACAGTTGAGACCTCGCTGCTCTGTGGGCGGCTGCGAACTGAGCAAGGTTCGCCACTTTCGTGGGCTCCTGGGAGGTCCAGTGGGGTCGGGGACCATGCAACCGTCGTCACTTTCGGCGGAGTAGCGGGGTACGCAGACCCAGACGTGACCCACTGCTCATTGAGTGGCTGCGAGCTGCGCAACTGTCGCCACTGTCGTGGGCTCCTGGGATGTCCAGCGGAGTCGAGGAGTACGCGCACCCAGAGGGGACCTCGCTGCTCTCTGGGAGGCTGAAAATTGTGCAACTATCATCGCTTTCGTGAGCTCCTGGGAGGTCCGACGGAGTCGGGGGCCACGCGCACCCAGGCGAGACCTCGCTGCTCCCTGGGGGGTTGCGAACTGAGCAATTCTCACCACTTTCGTGGGCTACGAGACCTCGCTGCTCCCAGGGAGGCCGCGAACTTCGCAACTGTCACCACTTTCGTTGGCAACTGGGCGGTCCAGCGGAGTCGGCGGCCAGACGGATCCAGCCGAGACCTCGCAACTCCCTGGGAGGCTACGAAGTGGGAAATTGTCGCCACTTCCGCAGGCTCGTTGGAGGCACGGCGGAGATGAGGCCAACGCACAACGTGCAGATCTGGCGGTGTCCCGTGTCGTATAGAGCCTCATTCCAGTATTCGCCTCGCGTTGAGAAGGGGTTGGGAACGTCTCGGGCAATTGCGTTTTGGTATTTGTGTTTTTTGGGTTTGCTGCATCCTCCTTCTGGACCCCTGGAGGATCGGTCGGAAGCGGCCAAGAGGGGGGTGTTCAAGAGGGGGGGTTGCAGATCATGACCGGCGGTATGTGCGCGGCCCCGCGGGGGGGCCAGGGACGCAATGAAACAAGAAGAGGCGCCATGAAATCCGGGGAGATAGCATGGCCCCGGCCATGATATCCCCCCCCCCTGGTCTTCAGTCGGGCCTGTCCCTCTACAGGGGGAATATTCAAAATTATCCCAGGGCGACCCTACCTAGGAGTTGGAGCCCCGAGGAGAGCAATATTAGTAGTAACGGTAAACGCCGTCCTCCTCCTTCTCCTCATCGTCGCAGTTGTAGCAGTAGCGGTAGTAGTAGTAGTAGTAGTAGTAGTAGTAGTAGTAGTAGTAGTAGTAGTAGTAGTAGTAGTAGTAGTAGTAGTAGTAGTAGTAGTAGTAGTAGTAGTAGTAGTAGTAGTAGTAGTAGTAGTAGTAGTAGTAGTAGTAGTAGTAGTAGTAGTAGTAGTAGTAGTAGTAGTAGTAGTAGTAGTAGTAGTAGTAGTAGTAGTAGTAGTAGTAGTAGTAGTAGTAGTAGTAGTAGTAGTAGTAGTAGTAGTAGTAGTAGTAGTAGTAGTAGTAGTAGTAGTAGTAGTAGTAGTAGTAGTAGTAGTAGTAGTAGTAGTAGTAGTAGTAGTAGTAGTAGTAGTAGTAGTAGTAGTAGTAGTAGTAGTAGTAGTAGTAGTAGTAGTAGTAGTGGTAGTAGTAGTAGTAGTAGTAGTAGTAGTAGTAGTAGTAGTAGTAGTAGTAGTAGTAGTAGTAGTAGTAGTAGTAGTAGTAGTAGTAGTACAGCTTAATACCTACATCTACATATAGACCTACATACACATCTACACCTACAGCTACATCTACATGTACACATGCATCTACATCTACATCTACATCTACAACTACACTCACATCTACATATACATCTACGCCTACATCTACACCTACATGTACATATACAAATAAATATACCCCTACATCCACATCTACACCTACACCTACATCTAAACCTACATCTACACTTTCGCATTGGTGTTGCTTTTGCTTTGCATTGCCTTTGCTATTGGTCTTGCCTGTGTTTTTGCCTTTGTCTTTGCTTTTGCTTTTGCTGTTGCTGTTGATGTTGATTTTGCTGTTGCTGTTGCTATGATATGCTGTGCTATGCTATGCTATGCTGTGCTATGCTATGCTGCGCTATGCTATGCTATGCTATGATGTGCTATGCTATGCTATGCTATGCTGCGCCGTGCTACGCTAAGCTAAGCTAAGCTATGCTATGCTATGCTATACTGCGCGATGCTATGCTATGATATGCTATGCTATGCTGCGCTCTGCTAGGCTTCGCTATGCTATGCTATGCTATGAAATGCTATGCTATGCTATGATAATGCTGCGCTGCGCTAAGCTAAACTGAGCTGAGCTAAGCTAAGCCAAGCTAGGCTAGGCTAAGCTAAGCTAAGCCAAGCTAGGCTAGGCTAAACTAAGCTAAGCTAAGCTAAGCTAAGCTAGGCTAAGCTAAGATGAGATACGCAACGCTAAGCTAAGGGCACGTCACTGGGGGAACCACGGGGCGGATCCTGGGGGAACCGCCCGGGGCGATTTACTCTGCCCGGCCCTTTAAGAGAACAGGTAAGAACCCTCTAGGCAGAGCCTAGGTAGGGGAATAGTCAAACAGTAATATGGGGAGTACTTTTTAAAGATTTTTTGTCAATTCTAGAATATTTCTTGAGCCGTTTTTATTTTTTTGTTGGGAATCCCCTTGTAGGGGGACACGCCCGACTTAACCCTAGTCGTCACCCCCCTCTCTGCCGCCCCCGAGATCGGGGCCCGGGCCCCAGGGCCACAGGGCAACTTCTCAGCAGGAAGGGGGCCGAGCGGTCCGGGGCGGTGCCCCGGCAGAACGCCGGCGACAGGCGGTGCCTCCTCCGCGCAGGCAGAAGCAGCGCGCTCCGCTGGGGAGGCCCCAGCTGCAAGTCGGGCTGTACGTCGGGCGTGTCCCCCTCCAGGGGGATTCTCAACGACATTTTTTTATAGACAAAACCAAAAAAAACTCAGGCAAATACCCTCAAATGGCCAAACAAAAACTCAAAAAAGTGTCCCGTGACTATTTTTGACCTATTTTTGAATATTCCCCCTGTAGAGGGACAGGCCCGACTGAACCCCAGCTGCCTCCTGCTCCTGGGTCCCTTCGGTGATCCAAGGGTCCAGGTGGTGACCCTGTGCTCCCTGGGCCAGGGGCCCACTGAGCTGGTGATCTGGGCGCGTGGTCGGGTGATGCGGTGATGTGGATGTGCGTCTTCCCCCCCCCCCCCCCACACGCACACATTTCCCCTATGCTTTCCCATGCTTTCTGGGGGATCGACGATTTATTGTTTGTGTTTTTCCCTCCTGAGATCTGGGGTTCTCCATCCATGTGGTCTTCTTCTGCCCCAGCGATCCCCTATGCTGGCGTTCCCGGCTGGTTGGGAAAATCAGCTGGCCCGGTGATCTAGAAACCTGGCGATCCAGCCGCCAGACTTAGGTCGGGCATGTCCCCCTACAGGGGACTTTTGGGCGAAAATCAAACAACATTGTCAAAACATACCCCTAAATTGTCAAAACACGTACATAAAAAATTGTCCCTACATTATTTTTGACTATTTTTGAATATTCCTCCTGAAGAGGGACAGGCCCGACTTAACGCCAGACTGAAGGGCCTCCACTGAGCTGGTGACCCAATAATCTGGCGATCCTGCAACCGGATATGGTGATCCCGTCGATCTGGCCAACTGTTTCTGAAATGGGTCAACTTTTCCGGTGATGCAGAAGCAAGAACTGGATTGATCTGGCGATCTGACCGACCCCGTGATCTGGCTGAAACGATCAACTGGCACAAGACGGAGACCAACCGATGCAACAATACGACCTGGTGATCTGGTGTTGGCTGGGTGATCTGTTCGAGTGGATCAACTGGTCCGGTGATCAAGGAACAGAAACATTCGAGCTCGGATGCGTCAAATAACATTTTCCCTAACCAACATGACTCTTATCACAGAACCCCGACGTCGTGATTATTGCGCAATGTCGACCCCGACAGGTCTCGACCCCCACCCAGGGACCGGTTCGTCACCATGAATCATTTATTGACGTTCCCGAGGCCCGGTAAAGGCCCCCAAAGGCCGAGCGTGAAAAACCTTCCGTCGAGATTGTTTCACAACGCGAGGGGGTCTGGGATATTGAGGGCTCGACATTCTTTCAGTAATGCCCAGGAAAGGGTCCCGGGCCCCCCCAAACGGTGGCCTATTGTGGTACCTCATCGTGGCCTCCCTTCCGTGTGCCTGCGTGGCGCTGCTCAGGCTCTTCTGCCACGTCTGTTGGACGCTCGTTCGCGACGGGATCGGCGATGATTCGAGCGTTTGAACGTGCTTGCGCGTTGGTGGAGCGGCCCAGAGACACACAAATGAATACACACAAGAATCCGAGGATTTCCCCTATTCTCACATATCCTCTGGGTTTTCGTCTTCCCCCCACCTCCCATATTTTTCTGGGGAATCGACGATTCGTTGTGTCTGTGTTTTTGTTGTCCCTTCTGCTTTGGGGCCTCCGCCAGGGGCCCCCAGCCTCGGGAGACCCGCCTGCTCTGCGGTCCCGCGGAGTCCGCCTCGAGGGCCTCTCTCGACGGGCATATCGGGGCGCCTGGCAGCTCCGGGTGCTCCTGGAGCCTCGCGCCGTGAGGGCGCCGCGATCGACAGCTCTCGGGGACGCCTAAAGAGGGGGGGGGGCGTCCAAGAGAGGGGGGCGCAGATCATGGCCGGCGGCACGTGCCCAGGCCAGGGGGGGGGGGGGGCCAGGGACGTTTTGATATGAGACGAGGCGCCCTGACATCTGCGGAGATATTCCTGCCCCCGCCATGACATTCCCCACCCTTCTAGTCATCCCCCCCCTCTTGGCCGCCCCCGAAACTTTCCGCAGCTTTCGGCCTAGTCTGCCAGGCCCCGGGCCGTCAGAGAACACGTCGGGCTGAAAAGCCGATCGCGGGGAAGGGGTTCGGACGTTCCGGGGCTGCGCGCGAACAAATCACGACGACGGCGGTTCGGATGTTTAAGCGTTTTTTGTGTTCCCAACCCTTCCCCTGGTTAGGTCATCGCTTTGCGTGAAGCGCTGCTGGTCTCCATCCTACTCTTCCTCCTCCTCCTCCTCCGTCTCCTCCTCTCCCTCCTCCTCACCCTGCTCATCCTTCCCTCCTCCTCCTCCCCCCTCCTCCTCCCCCTTCTCCTCCTCCTCCTCCTCCTCCTCCTCCTCCTCCTCCTCCTCCTCCTCCTCCTCCTCCTCCTCCTCCTCCCCCTGCTCCTCCTCCTCCTCCTCCCCCCACTCCCACTGCTCCACCTCCTCCCTCTCCTGATCCCCCTCCTCCTCCTCCTCTTTGCCTCCCTCCTCCTACCTCCTCCCTCCTCCCTCCTACCTTTCTGACTCGGGGGCTGCCAATTGCGCAACCGTCGCCACTTTCGCGGGTTCCTGGAGGCCCCGCGGAGTGGTGCCCTACGCCCTTTCAAGCGAGACCTCGCGGCTCCCATGAGGGGCTGCCACCTGCGCAACAGCCGCCTCTTGCTGTGGGCTCCTGGAAGGTCCCGCGGGGTGGTGTCCTACGCGCATCCAGGCGAGACATCCCCCTCGCCCCTCCTGTCGTCCTCTGCTGCTCCCCTGATCCTCATCTTCCCCATGTTCCGTCTTCTCTTTTCCCTGTTCTACTAATCTTACCCATCGGTCGAGAGAAGTAGGTCGAACCATGAAGCAGGAAGGCGTTGGATGCAGACTGGGTTTCCGCCCGCCTCCTGAAGAGGGGGAAAGAGAGAAAGCCACTCGACTCTTGCGGTAGGCAGGCGGCGAATGTGGATTGGGAACCAGGATTCCCAAAATGCATACGGCAGGTTCGTGTCGTGTCGACCCTGGCGTTGGTTCCTGAAACCGCGGGGATCGCTCAACCTTGAACGATCGGGCGTTTCCGCGACGTCCACACCGTTCCACATCGAACGATTCTGGGTCGCCCGCGGCGTTCAACGTTGAACGCCGCTGGCGGGGTCGCCGCCGATCGATACGACGCGAATCTACCGTGCTTTCAAGGACCGATGGGTACTCCACTTGGTCGACGCCGGCGCCGTCGTCACTCTGCCTTGCGGCCTGGCCTTCCCCTCCTTTGGAACTACCTCATGTCGTCTCCAGGAGGCGTGCAGCGCACGAGCCCCCTCTGCTGCAGATATCGAAGAGGGGTTCCCGGGCCCTGTGATATGGCGGATATCGGAGCCCCTGAACCCAAAAACGTTTTCATCTCTTGGGGGCGCATTTTCTACTTCCGCCACCTTCCGGGGTTCCCGGGCCCTGTGATATGGCGGATATCGGAGCCCCTGAACCCAAAAACGTGTTCATCTCTTGGGGGCGCATTTTCTACTTCCGCCACCTTCCGCCGCCCTTCCAGAGATGACAGCCCCTTTTACTCGCGAGAGCAAGGCCCTGTTTGGAACGCCCCATCTGTATTTTGACGCGTAGGGTTGGCCCGTCGACGTTGCCACTTGCTGCAGGCGGGTTGGGCACGTCCCTGGGCACCTTGTTGGAATGGGCGGCCCTGGGCCCTCAGAGGCATCCGGAGGCCTCCGGGCCATGGACCTCCGGAGAACCGTGGACGAGTCGGTCGAGCTTGTGCGCCGGAAGCGGCAGCAACGCCCAGACCAATGACGAGGCCTACCTGCGACATGCGATCCTTCACGCAGCCACCAGATATGTCGACAATTGGGAGCGTTGGGAGCGAGGCGCGGCCGTCACTGGCATACACTGCCAAACAAAAGTAGCACACTGTTTTTTCCAGCGACCCCCACCAGTAGAGGCATCCACAGCTAAAACATCCCAAGCTGGGACATCCCCAGCCCCAGGTAGAGCATTCCCGCTACCGGTCCAAACAAAGCTTGTTGCCACACGGGAAGACGGTTGAGGTTTCTCGGCGGCGAACGAGGGGGGGAGTGAGAAGGGGAAGGCCTTCTCAGAAGGTTCTGAAGTCCCCCAAATCTCTGATTTCGGAGAGGTTTGCTGAGCCTCCCCCGAAGACGCACACAACTTCTCGGCGATGTGCCCTCGATAGCAGATCCGTACTTTCCTGGGCGGGATGGGTTGTGCGAAAGATACCCGCACCCTGACCCAAGCGAGGTGGCAAGGGGCGGGGGGAGCGACACGCCGCAGCCGACGGCGGTTGCACAACTGCAAATGCGACGGCCCATGAACATTACAGGGCGCTGTCTTCTCCGGGCATCCGCTGGCACCGAAGGCGCGCGCATTCCAATCGGCAGATTGGCCGACCACGCATTGGTCGCTCTCGGGCTAGAGTAGCTTGTTCGGAGGTGCGCCCACGAAGGCGCACAATCAAGCGTTTGGGGCTCGACGAGCAACATGCGTCCTGGGTGTCCTGGGCGGGCGCCGCTGCAATCCCGCGCTCACCGCAAACACCTGGGGCCCCGAACGCCAAACGCGGTCGCCAGGGGCTGCTCCCTGGAAAACCCGCTTCGCGTCACCCCGGCTAGTTCCAGGCACGTGTCGGGGGGCACAGTCGCCGACGCGCGTTGATGGTGCCCCCCGACACGTACCTGTACCTAGTCGAGGTGGCGTTTGGTCGAAATCGCTTTCGGGCGCACGTGCGGCCCCCGAGAGCGCCCCCGAACGCGGCCGCAGCGAACCCAGGGGGAGCGTAAGGCTGCAACGACGCTCCTGCGGGCAGGCCCTAACGCAATGGAGTGGTGGCGCTTGTCCCCAAATGGACAAGCACCACCACTCCAATGCAATTGTAAACCCCGCGGACACCCCCGATGCCCCCAGAAGTTCTTGACGCTTCTCAGGGCATGTCGCTACAATCAAACAACCAGCCGTTCAGCGTGTCGGTGCGCCCTGATGCGCGGACGCTGAAACAGCGCGCACGCGGCAGGCTAATCGGGCGCAGTGGCAAGCGCCCACCCAATCCAGCGGACGGCCCTTTTCACCCAGGCCGACCCCGGGCAAGGGTATGTTTAGGACCAATGATCTGAGCCTCTCCCCCCCCTGACGCTGCTCCTGACCCAGAGCCGACCAAAGAACATCGCGAGGACCTCCGAAAGTACACTCTTGCAATAGTTTGCATTTTGTTCGTAGCCGCCGCGTGGTGGGTGCTGCCAGCCATCAGCGCCGCCGGCAGAGGCTAAGAGCACCCGTACCCGTCCGCGGGCTCGCCCGTCACGTTAACGCCTTCAAGGCACATCGCCTTCACGGCCTCGTTCTTCGAGCCGCCCATGAAATGCATAATTTCCATGGTTGGGTCGTTCATTCGTAGTCGCCCCATCTCCTCGTTCGCGGCGCCGCCGCCGCGGCCACACTTCGTCAGCACGCAGCCGCCGCGGTTCCACGTCTGCCCGCTCCAGACGCCGGCGTGCTTCTGGAAGGCCTCGCGGTTCTTGATGCCGTTGAGGCACAGCTGCTCGTTGGCGTTGCACGTCAGAGCCGAGCCCCCGATGCTCTTCGGCTTACTTACTGTGCCCGCCATGTGCAGAAGAACAACAAGAACAGCACAAACATAATCTGTTGCAAGTCCCCTCGGATTCCTTGGATCGGCGCTGGCACCACCCAGAGTTGTGACCTTGTTTTATTCGGCGTTTCGACATTGGGCGGAAGGGGGGGAGGGGGGGGGGTCTGGCTCCCGACCTCTGCTCAGTGCGACGGTTTGCAGCAGCGCGTCCTGTGGAGGAGATCCCACGTGCCTGAAAGAGGTGCCCCAAACAGCCAATAGGTACTCCATGGGTGGGGAGGTGCCTGAAGAGGTACTCCATGGGGGGGGAGGTGCGAGGGCCGGCGCCGAGCGGCAAAACAACGAGCAAGAACACGATCACGTTCTGAATACAGGGCAGTTTGTAATACATTGGATTGTTTAATACATGATTAATTCCTGCGTAAACTTATGCATGAACTCATCGTTGTGATTCATGATAAAGCCCTGCATGTTTAATACATGATCCGCACGCGGAGTATGTATTAAAAACGGCACTGTACCTTCCTCGGGACCGTGTTGTCCTCCTGGGTCGTTCTCGGACGCTCCCAGAGCCCGGGGAGGGCCCCCAGAAGCAGACCGTAGCAACGACCTCGCGCCTTGTGGTCTCTCAAGACGGGAGAGGGGGATCTCGGGATGGGTGCCCAGCGCAGATCCACAAGCTGTATGCGGACATTGGCAAGCTTATGTTGATGCCGTGATGTTTTCTTCAAACGTTCGGCGGCGAGCGAGGAGGGGAAGTGAGAAAGAGAATGCCTTCTGAGAAGGCCGCGGGGCTTCTGAAAAACCCTCCGGCCTTCTGAGAAGTTCTCCGCGGCTTCGGGGGAGGCATAGAACACTTCTCACAAGGCTGGAGGACTTTGAGCCTTCTGGCAAGGCCCGCCCCCTCTCACCTTCCCCCCCCCGGCGGGCCGCCGAAATGTGGGCGGCCAGCATGTCCTGAAACAGCTGCCGCGTCCAATCCGTGCTGGCCGCGAAGAGGAGCCCGCCGTTGATGCGGCCCTTGCCGCTCGCCTGCCAGTCCTCGTCGGACAGGAACAGGTCCTTGCCCATGGCCTCCAGCTCCTTCCGAGGCCGCGCTAACGGAGTGGTTGGTTGACGGTGCGGTTGGGGATCTGGTTGTTGTGACGCCGAGCTCAGGCAGAACAAAATTCAGGAAATCACGAAGCACCGCTTCCTACATTTCAGATATGCGCATCTATCAAGCGAACACGTCACAGCGATTTGCAGGAAGGCACGATCCTACACCGCCGTTGGCTAACACACCGTCAGCACGTTTACGGTCCTGTCAGGAGGGCAAGAATTTGTTCTTGGAACAGATTCCCATCCTGAGTTAGCACGCCTCAGTCAGCACAGCGAAATGCCCCAACACGCGCACACGCCAAGCAAGCCTGATGCCCGCGGAGCGAAACATGCAAGCCCGATACCCACGCACGAAGAGCAAGAGAAATGCAGAATCGTAAACTCTCGGAGCTCCGCGCTGATTTCTTGGATCGGCGCTCGGCCCCCCCAAGGGCGCCTCTCGCGCCGCCCCCGGCGCGCTCCGCGCACTAGAGAGGGGGGCCAGACGACGATTCAAGAGATCCGCGCGGAGCTCCGGACATTATGTTTGCGCCGATGTTTCTGCTCCGATCCTTGGCCATGAGCCGCAGCGTGTCGTGCTTGCGGTTGACGAGCGCGGCGTCTGCATCCATCATGAGGACGTGGGAGAAGCCCTCTGGGCTCGACAGGTACTGCAGAATCATGAGCTCCTTCTCCCAGTTGAACGTCTCGCGCTCCTCGTCCTTGATGCACTTCTGCTCGTCCTTGCCCTCCTGGGACTTGCTCGTGCACTCCGCCAGCACTCGCTGTGGCACCTTCAGCGACGGCCTCCACCTGATGATCATGGCGTGCCCGAACTTGCGCACGCGGCTCCTCGTGGCCGCCAGGCACACCCTCAACCACTTGGGGCGCCTCATTTGCTCCTGCAGAGGCCTCCCAAATGGTATCCGAGCTGATGGGGTCAGGGGGTCGCGCAGCAACCCCGATGCATCGCCGTCGTCGGCGAAGGGAGGGAGAAAGGGGGCTCCACATTGAGCTGCACCGGCGATGCATCGATGCGGCGCGATCCCCCGACCCCATCCACTCCGACCCCAAATCTGGGAAGCCTGGATCCTGACCCTTGTCCTTCTTGCCCCAGCCGGCGCCGAGCTTGCTGTCCAGCAGGATCGCGAATGCCACCAGGATGCCGCCGCTCCCAGGGCCCCTCTTGAGGGGCAACGCTCCAGGTGGGTGGGTCCAGCTCGGAAGGGGAAGCATCGACCTGGAGTCGGCGATGCATCGCCGATAGATCGGCGATGGAACCTCGATGCCAAATCCCCCCCACCGGTCCTGGGCGGGGTGGGCATCGGGACCGATTGAGGGTCGAAGCGTCCCCTCCCCCCCCTGAGTCTCTCTCCCGCGAACGGTGCCCCCGGGTTCTCGGGCCATGACTCGGCTCCCCAACGGCCGTTCGGGACGATCTGGGCAGCCCCGAACCGCTCTCGGCGAGGCGCAGCTGCCAGAGAGCACCCCGATGCTGGAGAGCCGCCGCGAACCGAAGAAGACCGACCGCCCAAAGCCTTGGCTTCGAGAGCCTCGCCCCTCTGGCGTTGCCTCTGACCTCCTCGGCCGCGCGTCGACGATCAGCTTGTCGTCGTTGAGCAGCCAGGGCGCAGGCTCCCACTGGCCCTCGCGATCCGCGGGCAGCCCTTCCGCCGACGCCACGCCCGCCGAGGGGTTGTCCCGCGGGTCTGCGTGCACGTACGGGTGCCACACCGGCAGCTGCCCCAAAGGAGCCAAAAGACGGCATACACTGTAAACGTTAGGTCGGGCATGTCCTCTTTCTCTGTCGAACCGGTGCGGGCCTGCGGGCACGGCGGGCTGGACGAAGGTGGGGCGCAGCAAAGGGGTGATTTGCCAAGCAGCTCATGGCGCCGATTGTCTAAGCGCCTCCTGGCGCCGAAAGCGGCCATGCGTCGAGGACTGGCCGTTCGGCGGGGCGACCGAAACCAGCTGCGCGCAGCAGGTTTTGCAACCCCCCCTTTCCTTCCCCAGCTTTTCGTCCGACCCGAGCAACGCGGGTAATTAGTCCTCCTCCCCCCCTCTGTCGCGGTCGTCGTCGCCGCCGTCCCCGGCCCTGCCCGCGCCCGTTTCAAGCGGCCGCTCTCTTCGTCGCTCGGGCCTGAATCTTTCGCCACGGCGGAAAAGTGCCTGAAAGAAAACGGGCCCTGGACCCCGGAGGTCGCCCTCGGTAATTTTTCTGTCTCGCGGCCCGCCAAGAGGAGGGTCCGCCGACGGCCTTAGCGGCCCCTCCCCCTCCTCTCTCCTCCTTCCCCCTGGCGCGCGTGATTAAACAAAAAGTACCGCGCCGCGCGGAGTCTACTCATCAGCCCCATGGGGGTGGGCTGGGGGGGCGTCCCTTTCGTTAACCACAAGCTGATATTCCAGGCGGGTTCTGAAACAGTGTTACATATAAAAAACAGAAATCGTGAAACATTAAAACTTGTCACGGGTCGATGTTTTGACTATTTTTTGAATTTTCCTCCTGTAAACGTACCCAATCGGAGGTAGTGCCCGACTTATGTAAACGTACCTTTTCGGAGGTCCGCGCGGATCTCTTGGATCCGCGCTGGACCCCCTGGGGGGGCGCCAAGGGCGCCGCCAGGCCCAGCCCCCTGACGTGGTGCTGAGTCCTGCTGTTTTGTCACGACGTGGGCCTCCAGAGGTCTGGGCCCTTTGCCCCAGATGATGGGCCCGATTTCCACCACCACCACCACCATAAGCTGGAGGTGGGAAGGAGGTGGAGGATTTGGAGTAGGACGAGGAGGAGGAGGAGGAGGAGGCGGAGGAGGAGGAGGAGGACCCCTCCTTCTCCTACTTCTGGTGGTGGCGGTGGAAACCAAGCCCCACCACCAGACTGAGGTTTCCTTCCTGGTCGTTCTTTGACGGCCCTGGGGCCCTGTGAGGGCCCCCAAGGACGTCATGGCAAGGGCCCCCTCGGCGTGATTCTTCGAACCCTGCTGTTTCCCTCCTGATCGTTCTGTGACGGCCCTGGGGCCCTGTGGGGGCCCCCAGGAGGCAGGGGGCAAGAGCCTGAATGGGCCCCGGAAACGGCAGGGCCGTTTTTTCACCGCTTCCCGAAAAAGTCCCTTGAAAATGGAAACAGCAACACAAGCGGCGACCGGAAACGGCAACAAAAACTGCTCCAGGATTGGAACCAGAGCGGGAACCCGTAAAAGAACAGCGACGGAACCGGTAAAAAACACGGCGTCGGAACCGGCAACAAAAACGGCAAAACGGAACCGGCAACAACAACGGCCCTGTCGTTTCCAGGGCCCACTAAGGCAAGAGCCCCTCGCCGAGCTCTGTGTCGACACGCGAGGGGGGGCGAGAGCCGAGGTCCGGGAAACCCGCGCGGACCTCCGCGAAGCGTGTGCTTGCACGCTCCATTTTGAAGGGGCCCTGGGACGCACACGCACACACACACACACACACACACACACACACACCAGACACAAAAAACACACACACACACACACACAAACAGAACAGACACAAATAGCAGGAATCCTTATATTTTCCCATATTTTCAAGGTTTTGCCTTCCCCCACTGCCCATAGTTTTCCATATTTTCAAGGGAAATCGACGATTCATGGTGTCTGTGTGTTTTGTTCCCTCCTGAATCCTGGGCTGCTTCGTGCCGCCAGTGCAGCGGCGGACACGGGGGCTGCGCACCCCACCGCCAAGCCTATCACACCCGCTGCAGAGGGAGCCCCCGTCCCCGACTGCCCGCGGGAGCTGCGCTCTGGCATGGAACTGGAACCGCCGGGAAACGCACTGCGCTGGGGTCCCCTCCCTTCTTGTTGGCACAACAAGAAACAATCGCAAACAACCATCAACAGCATTTGCCGATACGATTGCGTGTCGAAGCCACCTCTCCTCAAAGGGGGATAGAGCCGCTTCAATTGAAGAGTCGGTGCCCCCCCCTGGCAACGATCGCGGACAAAGGCTCGACTCGCGGACTAGGGTCCCCTCACTATTATGCCGTGTTTTGTTCCTCGATGCTCGCCCGCGCTGCTCGGAAGGCTCGGCGCTTCCGCCGCAACCAACGGCTGCTCGCCAGCGGTGCCCACAATGCTCGGCGCTTCAGCCATGACTGGCGGCGCCGGCTGGGGCTGCCGCCTGCCACCGGCGGACTGCCGCGTGTCCCTAGCGGTGATGTCCCAGTCGGGCTGGCCCACGCGGAACTCCTCCAGGAAAAACTGCGCGTAGGCCAGCCTTGAGGGCCCAGACACCCGGGCGTCGCAATTTGTGCGGCACGAGCGTCTTCGCCCAACCTCGGGGCCCTGGGACCAGCGCAGTCAAGCACGGCAAGTGAACGCGATTTGTTTCGCGAACGTGGGATTTATGTTCGCAACGTCGGAGGACCGGCTGAAGGGAAACGTCCACCTGGAATCGGCGACATATCGCCGATGAGTCTGCGGTCAGGCGCCCGATTTTGAAGCCGCACGTTCCTGGGCGGGGGGGGGGCCATCAAGGCTATCAGGCCCTATTGGCGATCTGTGGGCGATTGGGTGTCGATGCGTCCCCGCCCCCTTGGACTCTCGCCTCAGGACGTCGCCCCCTGGCTTTTGGGCCACAACTCGGCTCCCAAACGGCCGTCCGGGACGATCTGGGCAGCCCCAGACGCCCCTCGGCCGGGCGCAGCTGCTGGAGAGCACCCCGAGGGCGAGAACCGAAGAAAACTATCTAAAAACTCAGACTTCGAGAAGATCGACGAAACTGCCCGCGACGTCGGGGTCTTCCATAACAATGCCCCCGACGAGGAGGAGGGGGGGGAGGAGGAGGAGGAGGAGGAGGAGGAGTACAGACGAAAGAAGTACACTCTCCTCGCGGAAATGAGATATACCTGCACCGAAGCTGACAGGAAGACCAGGCCCCAGCATCGAGGCGGATGGCCAACTGCACCCACAACTGGACGATGAGAACCTGCACCTCGCCTGGCCGCCACGGTGCATGCTACCACTGCTTACTGTATGAAACCAGCCTAACAAGCGAATTGTGAAAATGTGGCAGCGCAAACTGCAATACAACATGAGCGATCAAAACGAACGGCATTTTTAAGTACACCCGAATGCACAACAACAAAACGCCAACTTCATATGTTATTTGCATATGCCCTATCTTGCCATCCCACGCACATAACCTCCGACACATGCGAGAAGCATGATGGAAGATTCGGTGATGGGATCCCCTCAAGCGCCACGGGAAAGGAATTGTCTGGGCACCCCAGTGCTAGCTCGAGCCCAAATAGCGACGATGCCTTGGGCCACCCGTGCTTGAGAGGAGGAAAAGGAGGAGGAGGAGGAGGAGGAGGAGGAGGAGGAGGAGGAGGAGGAGGAGGAGGAGGGGGAGGAGAGGGAGGAGGAGGAGGGAGGAGAAGGAGGAGGGGGAGGAGGAGGAGGGGGAGGAGGAGGAGGAGGAGGAGGAGGAGGAGGAGGAGGAGGAGGAGGAGGAGGAGGAGGAGGAGGAGGAGGAGGAGGAGGAGGGAGGAGGAGGAGGAGGAGGAGGAGGAGGAGGAGGAGGAGGAGGAGGAGGAGGAGGAGGAGGAGGAGGAGGAGGAGGGGAGGAGGAGGAGGAGGAGGAGGAGGAGGGAGGAGGAGGAGGAGGAGGAGGAGGAGGAGGAGGAGGAGGAGGAGGAGGAGGCGGAGGGAGGAGGAACCCCCGACAGCCCGATCAGCAGCCACGCCGCGGCCACCGGGCACCAGCGCCTCAGCAGCTGCCCCCGCGCGCCGGGCTCGGCGGGCGCAGGGCCCTCCGCGGGCTCCATGCCTCTCCATGCCGGCCGCGCAGGCTCCGCGGGCGGGGCGCGCTAGACGACCGGGGCAGAAGAAGAGCGAAGGCTGCATACATGAAGGGGCCCCAGGACACACAAATAGATACACACAAATAAAACGATTCCCCATTTTCCCATATTTTCTGGGATTTTGTCTTCCCCCCCACTTCCCATCTTCTCCCATATTTTCTGGGGAATCGAGGATTAATTGTGTCTGTGTGTTGTTTTCCCTCCTGAGTACCATGCAGTCGGGGCGTTGACCTGAGGAACCCTACATGAGGAGCCAGGCCCCTTTTTTCCAGAAGTTACGCTTCGATTTCCCATCGAAGACATAAGGAAAACCTGAGGCAAGCTGTGAAGCACTCAAGGAACACGGAGCCCCTCGCCAACGAGAAGGGTTCCTTCTTCAGCGCCCCGACTGCACAGTCGGACCTGATTGGGGAGGGCACGCGAGAGGGCACAGGACCCTGCCGAAGGCCACATCGCCACAGGGGTGCAAGAAGGCACGCGTCGCGAGGCACAGGACGCGGGGGTATCCCTGAGCTGGCAGGGTCGGCCTACTAATCGGGGCCGACTGTAGCAACTGTCGACGGTCCCCGCGGACTGCTTGGATCTGCGCCGGACCCCCACCCCCCCCCTCCCTGGCGCGCGGAGCGCGCCAGCGGGGCCCAGCGCTGATCCAAGAAGTCCGCGTGGAGCGTCGAAAGTTACAATGCTTATGCAATCCTGCCTTTCTTCGATGGGTGGCCCGCCCGGGTGCCGCTCGAGCCAGAAGTGCGCTCCCAGATAGCCGGAGGGAGCATCTAAGAACCCCCCTGGGTTTCGCGAAGCACCGCAACTTTATTCCATATTCCACGGGGGCATGGTCGCGGAGCGATAGCTTTAGCACCGCGCGCAAACAGCAAAACAAAATCCTCATCGGCAGCGGCCCCTATGGGGCCAAGAAAGGAATTCGCAGGGAATGCCAAGGAATTCGACGATGGTTCCATCTCGGGGGGCGGCGGCAGCAGCCACTCGTCCTCCTCTGCACCTCGACGACGCCGGCCCGCCGCAGCAGGTGCACGGCGCCCACGGGGAGCGCGGGCGGGCGGGCTGGGGGACAGGTGAGGAGCAACGACAGTGTTGGGTCGGGCATGTCCTCCTACTGGCGGGTCATGGAAAGAAACACGAAAGATAGCCGACAAATATTCAAACATACTCAAAAACAGTTTAAGCAAAGAAAGCCCTTCACAGTGGGCCCCACTGTCAACTGGCTCACAGTGCGCGGACGCCCGGGGGGGTGCTCGCAATTGCATATGGTTGGGACCTTCGCCAAGATAATTCGACTCCGCGGCACCCGCCGCGCAACAACTACGACAGCTACGATTGCGACTGCGACTGCGAGTGCTACTACTAGTCGTACTACTACTACAACTACTACTGCCCCTGCAACTACTACCACCACCACCATCACAACCACCACCACCACCACAACCGCCACCGCTACTATTACGACTACTACTACTACTACTACTACTACTACCACCACTACCACTACTACTACTACTACTACTACTACTACTACTGATACTACTACTACTACTACTACTACTACTACTACTACTACTACTGCTACTACTACTACTACTACTACGACTACGACTACTACTACTACTACTACTACTACTACTACTACTACTACTATTAGTACACCAACAACAACAACTACTACTACGATGGCTACTATGGCTACTATGGCTACTACTACTAC